GATGGATAATCGTTTTGTCTTCTTGAGAGAAGCACTGATTCTAATTTCGCGTTATCCAATAAAGGATTTAAAAAAACTTTCACGAAGCAAACACTGATTTTAATTTCGCGTTATCCGTTTAAGGATTTAAAAAAACTTTTACGAAGCAAACACTGATTCTATTAACCGCATTGCACGCGGTCACAAATATTGTTGTCTTATTCAAGGCTAATATCTAAATGAAATGAAGTCTACGTACCTGTAATAAAAAGAAAAAATATTTAATGTAATTTTTTTCTTAAAAAATACGAAAATGAAACACAAAAAATTAATAAACTAAAAGAAAATATGAAAGAATAATAACCTTTGATTATTGATCGATGATCACCTTATTCTCTTGATACACTGATTCTACTCTGTACCGTGAAAACGAATATTTAAAAAAGAAAAAAAAAATAAAAGATTATTAACCCGTTTGCCGTTTGTTATAATCGGCGAACAAATACTGACTCTAATTTCGCGATTATAGAAGAATTATAAAGAAACTTTTACGAAACAAACACTGATTCTACTGATCGCATTGCACACGATCACAAAATTTTCTGAAAATAAAGTTGCATTAACAAGATGAGGTAAAAGAAAAATAATATACGTACGTATGATACGAAATATCAAATTTTACTGCGTCATTGTGACAAGATGGCGTCCATATTGGAACTTTTCCCGCCTTCGAAGCTAACCCAAAAATTAACAGTCTGTATAAAAGAAAATTAAAACTATTAAATAAGCGCATAAAATGTATAAAATTAATCAAATATATTAAAATAAAATATCGATCAAACACAAATTTCATTTTGAAAAGTCAAAATATGAAATATTCGTAACTCTAACCTGTTACACTAAAATACTGATAAATGAAAAAAAAAGAATAATTTATTTACAAAAAAGAATTTCTAATTACGATAATAATATATACACAATAAACACGTACTAATAACACACACTAATATATGAATAATAAAGAACAATTATGGAAATAAATATTACGCAACAGATAAATTACACACTTTACACGACGAAACACGACGCACTACAATTATCGATACGACAATGATATCTCGCAGTCAATTTCGATTATCGAAATACAAAGGGTCGCGATCGATATTTCGACAACAAATCGAAACTTGTCGAACACGTCACGAACTCTAATATATATAATCTCAATTTTTTAAAAAAGCAATATAATAAAAAAATATTTGTAGTTTTAAGTATAACAGACAAAAGAAAAAAATATATACATATAAACAATACAATTAAATATAAATATAATATTGAAAAATGAATATGTATTACTGATAATTTGACAAAATAAAATTTATTACGACGAACTACCGTATATTTATTTTTCAATACGAAGAAAAAGGAATAATCTATTCCAAATACATCTATTTTTACGAAAAGAAATAAAATGTTATTACCTAATATACAGGTAAATTATCAGCTATAAATCATCATGACACGTGCATATATATACAGCATTATTTCTTCGATAACCCAGCATAATCGAATTATAATCTACACAAATAAAAATCAGAACCGAAAAACAAATGTATATAATTAAAATTATATTATAATATAAAACAATAACGATTTGAAATTTTGACTGAGAAATTCATAATACGTGCAATACGAATACTACCGGTAACCTCAACAATCAAATACTCGATCGAAGGAAAAAGTACAAAGAAATTCGAAAAATTAATTAATTTTGTTATCACAATGTTTAATATATATGTCTATAAATTCCACAATAAAGTAACAATAAATAGATTTAAGTACTTACTGCGTAATTAAAATCTCGTCTCGATGATTTTTCGGCAGAAATATGACGCCATGCACTACACTAAGATTTTCTTATAAGCTTTCTGATTGGCTAAAACAATACGAACCTATTTACCTAACCGCGCGAAAATTAAAACATTGTATAATATAATATTAATTATGGTTTCCTATACATTAAATTCCGTTGATGAAAAATATAATTATATACAAGAAATTATAATATAATAAGAAATTAAATATGAAAATTAATATAACATAAAAATTAATCAAATTGGAATGAATTAAAAACGTAAATAAAAGAATTTAAGACAAAAATTAAATAAATGTAAAAGTATGTAATAATAAAAAAAAATGAAATACAGAAGCTCGCTAAATTAAGGAAAACTGAAACATAGAAAAATGGATTAAAGCGTAGTTCTTAGCTTGGCATCGTTTTCAAAAAAAAAATTACTAATAAAAATTATTGAATGTTTCTAATAAAATATTTTTCATGTACTTTTTTTAAAAGAAAATTTTGAAAAGGAAAATTTTGGAAAACGATGCCAATTACCAGGTCTCACCAACGAGGAGGTGACTACGCATCGAGACCCACCTAAAGCTAAATAACAAAAACGAAACATAACAAAATTAACGATATAAATAAATTAGAAACATATAAAACATATAAAATAAAAATTAATAGTAAATATTAAAATTAAAAAAAAATACAAAACAAGAAAAAAATAAAAATAAGTGTAAAAATTAAACAAAACCTGAAACAAAATAAATAAATTAATGTACAATTATTTTTACAATGATCTTTACAAAAGTTTTTTACATTCGTCGCTCGCTTACTTGATATTACTTATGTTACTTATATAATACTTAATAAGACTTAATATTACTTATATCTATCTTAATTTACACCTTAACGTTAAATCTTAAATCTATAACAAAAATACGCTCGCGATAAACTTAATCTATCTTATGATCTACTTAAGACTAAAACGCATGCATCCCACGATGATCCCAAGATGCCCTCGCGGAGGGGGTTTAATAAAGTGGTACCTGCAATCCAGTCCAGACGACCAAAATATCCAAAAGAAGGAAAATTTGGACGAGTATGGGCTGGACTGCAGGTACTGCGTAGTTCTTAGCTTGGTATCGATTTTTAAAAGATTTATCTTTGAAAAATTTTCGTAGGAAATTTTTCAAAGATTAATCGAGCAGAAAAATCGATACCAATTACCAGGTCTCACCACGAGAGGGTGACTACGCGTCGAGACCCACCAAATAATAAGATTAATTTAAAGGAAAGAGTAAAGTATAGAAAATAATTAAGAATTAAGTAAATTAAATAGAAATGGTAAGATCTGAAAGTCCTCTTGAGAGAAGCACTGACTCTAATTTCGCGTTATTCATTAAAGAATTTAAAAAAACTTTCACGAAGCAAACACTGACTCTACTGACCGCATTGCGCGCGGTCCCAAAAATTTGCTGAAAATAATTAATCGTATTAATAAGGGAGGGATGGAGTGGAGGATGGAGAAGGAGGAGAAGAAGAAGTAAAATTTCGAAGGAATTTTTTTTTTTTTTTCATCGAGCATTTGTTAAAAAAAATATTTTTTTAAAATTATTAATCATCAATAAATAAATTGATAAATAAGAAAAAACATAAATAAATATGAAGAATAAAGGATAAAGTAAATGAATAATGAAATAAATTAAAAAATAAACGAAGATGTAAATAAATATGAAGAATAAACGATAAAGTAAATGAATAACGAAATAAATTAAAAAATAAAATAAAAATAAACGAAGACATAAATAAATGTGAAAAGTAAACGATAAAGTAAAAGAATAAGGAAATAACAAAATAAATTAAAAAATAAAAAAACGAGGACATAAATAAATGTGAAAAGTAAACGATAAAGTAAATGAATAAGGAATAAAAAAATAAATTAATGAAATAACGAAGTAATGGAATAAAAAAAATGAAGAAATAAAAAAAGAAGAAATTATAAATAAATAATAATGTAAATGAATAATTAAAAATAAAAAAATAAAAATGAAAAAATAAATTAAATAAAACGAGTTAATAAATTAATAAATAATTACGATATAATAATATGAATAAACAAGTATATTAAATATAATAATCGAAAAAATGTTTAAAAAATTTATATTTTATTGAAAATTATTCAAAGTTATAGTACGAGTCGATAAATTAGTTCGGAAGAGAATGACCTGCTCGCTGTGCTCCGCTTTATATTTATATGCTCGGTAAGGTTACGAAATTTAACGACGCCGTCCGAATTTTATCGATTACATTAAAAATGATTTTTTGGACACTGTGATCAATAATTTGAGAATTTTTTAAATGTTTACTCTTAATTAAAAAATTTAACGATTTACTACAATGATAAATATAATAATTAATACATTTTTACTAATTAAAATTAGATTTATAAATTTTATAATATTAATTTTCGATTTATATCGGTATTAAAATATTCCAAGTTTTATTTTAAGCTTTAAATATTTTATATTTAAATGTCTTCGATTATTGGCTAATGTAATTTTTTAATAAAGTTCCAAAAAAAGCTTTACATTTATACTTTCACTCAAAAGTTTTAAGATTCAACATAATTACATTTAATTTTCACAATACTGTACTTTATTGAAATAGAAAAGTATATTTACATTTCTATGGTTATTAACCTTCGATTTATATCTGTATTAAAACATTCTATTTAACATTTTAAAATCTAAATATTTCTCATTTATTTAAATATAATTCGATTTTTAATAATTTTTCAATAAAATTTCAATAAAGTTTTATATTTTGTGATAACAAGAATCGTATAATTACTATTTTATTTCAAATAAAGGAATATTTTTTATTAAAATGGTCAATGTATCGAATTACTATTTATTAATAATTTATCAATGATTTTTTCAATCTTTAAGCAAATATTTTAAGCAAATATTTTTAATAGATAGTTAAATTAGAAAAAAAATATTAAAATTAAACCATTTATTATTTGTTATTTGAATTTCTTCAAGTCCAAAAAAATTAAAATATAATTGAACCGTCGTCAATAATAATGAAAATCGATTTTCCTCGGTTTTGTTATTGCATAATTGTAATTAATATTTGATCCAAGTTACATAATCGAAGATGTCTTCTCTTGTTTCAGGCTGCGGAGGGTTTTGTCTTCGTGGTGGGCTGTGATCGTGGAAGAATTCTTTACGTATCCGAGTCTGTTTTACAGACACTCAACTATTCTCAGGTATCCAGTCTACTCTGTTTACTTTTATTGATAAAATTTTCATCGAAAATCTAAGAACAAAAATAATATAATATATATTAAAATAATAATTTCCTTAAAATGAATTTGATTATATATTTAATTATTTTATATTTTTTTTTTCACTAATTATATTTAGTTTTTTCTTTTCTAATCAAAAAATTATGTATTCTTTTAAAATATATTTTAAAATTATACAATTTTTATATCTGTACAGGGTGACCTGTTGGGTCAAAGTTGGTTCGATATCCTGCATCCAAAAGATGTGGCCAAGGTAAAGGAACAGTTGTCCTCTTCGGATCTTAGTCCACGTGAACGATTAATAGATGCCAAAAGTATGTACACAGCATTATATAAATATATATATATAATAAATTAAATGTAATATTATGTACCTTAAAACTTACTCGAAAACGACGAAGAAAATCATGCCGTTCAAGTCACTCTTGATATCTCAATCGGATGCCAAGTTATAAACACTTAAAGTGGTCATAAACATTAAGTAGAAATTAAACAGAAATTATGAATGGACTGACCTAATGGTTTAGGTTTATATTTTTTCCTGGCAATGAGTATGTCCTTTCAGGAAGCGTCTGTCTGTTACTTATTATATATCTAGAATTTGAGATCAATCAAAAGAAAGAAGGAAGATATAATAAACCATTGAAAATTACCTTTACACGATGATATCTCGGAAAGCAAAAGTCACATCGAATTTCACGCTTCTAATGCTCTTCGATTCGCTGAAGCCATTATCCTCAGAATTACAGTGGTTTAAAGTTTTCCTAATTTTAATCAAACTTTAAATTAAGATATATTTACTCCTTGAAAATTATTACTTACAATAATCCTATTAATTATAGAGAATTTTAAATTAAAAATTTATCTCAACATTACTTTAACTTTCAAATAAGTTTAATAATACAATTTTTGCAATTAATTATAATTAATTAATAGGAGATTTATGTATATTCATTTATCAAAAAAAAAAAAAAAAATACTTCTTTATATCCCTGAAATAAATCAGGATGATTTCTGGCTGTCGGTGAACATTTTCAAATTAATGTCATTATGAAAGAGACTCAGGGCTAAGAGGAGGAAGACAATACTCTTTATGCGTGGATCTCCAAAACGATCAAGTGCTACGATCGTTAATCATCGACACTTGTTGCGTCCGAATTAATAAAGCAGACGATCGAGCCAGGAAAACGATCGCTGACACCTCTGATGGCCGATTGATCAAACGTCGAAGCGCCATTGTAACAGTAATAATATACATAAGGATGGCGGTAATTGCGAGATTTGTATTCGAATGTACGACATGTTACTTAATGCCTATTATCCATTCCGATGGAGTTTCAAATAGAGTAATTGGCTAAAATTATGGATGTATCCCCCGTTGTGAAGTGATTAGGTTCGGATTATTGATGGCTGGCTGTAAGGATGTATCGTCGTCACTCTTCTTACGAGCGTTGCAACTTCAGCTTGCAGAAATGTTAAGGTTGAGATTTTCAAATGGAGTCCAAGAGTTATAGAGTAGCGTCCACGTTGAGCAACAGATCTTAACGTGGATCATCGACGGGAGATTCTGTTAAAAGCAAATGAGAATTGCGGTTTCAGGTGAAAATGTTAAAGTTGATATTGTGTGATTTTTCAAACGAAGCGAATTATTACGTTCGTTTCGTAACGTATCTCTGCTTGCAATGATACATTTTGCTCTGGGCTAAGAATAAATTATCGTAGTAATAGTGATTTTATGCTTATGCTTTCATTCAAATTACGGTAGTCGTTTTATTTTATTCGTTCGTTGTATCGAGAACTTTGGTATGTTTGTTTGTTTGTCGGTTACTTATCTGTCGCTTGTCGCTTTCTGTGTAAAAATAAAACTCGAGAAAAAGCGATTGCATAAGTTTGTAAAGCGTTAATAAGAAACTTCCATCAGATAAATGAAATATATATATATATATATTTGTAATTTAAAAAAAGACATGTTTGAATTAAACTTAGTTAAATATTTATTTCTTTGATGTCTGTAACATATGATTTATTTAAATTCGTTTCTTTTTTTTTTCCTCTTCTTCTTCTTTTTTTACGATTCACTTTTTATGAAAGATTTATTATTTTAAGCATAATATAAATTACTCGAATGAACGATCAAAGAAATTTCTATGCAAAACGGGGGAATTAAATGTAATTTATTGCCTTGCCTTAAACATTTCTTAAACGAGATTATTTTATTTATTTGCATTTATAATTGCACGAATTTGATTAAAACAAGGATTATTTTTTTATTGAAAAATTGAAATACGGCAATATAATCGAAGCGTTGACCCATAATATTAATCACATCGAATAGAGAATATCATAAATGATTTTAAAACTAATTTTATTCCTTTTAATTTTAATTAAAAAATAAAACGACTAAATGTACCGTCGAATATTTCTTGTTAATTCGATTATTATTACTTTAATTATTAATTCTTTCATTTATCAGTTTATCAATCGTCAATCCATTCCAAAAATTTTATAAAAAAAGATTCTCTCGCTCAAATAAAATTATACTAAGGGTTTAATACGTGCCTATCGCGTCTTCGAACCGCCTTTTATACTTCTTCCATCTGTCAAGGCCGATTTGACTGCAAATATGCGATACGCACTATGCATGCGTGCATTTCTCTTCCAGGAAATTGTGCGAAAAACTTTTTGATATTGGCACGCATCGATACCTGCACAGACACCTACAAGCAGAAATAAGACATGGCGAACTTTCTTACAAATATAAAATGTTCATCAAATAATGGAATAATGATAAATAAAATCTAAGACAACGTTTAATTTTAACTCGATATAATTGCAAAATTGGAAAATTATTACTTATTATGTTATCCCATACAATTTTCTGAATAATTGTTGAAATAAAATTTGCATCAAAGAATAATGATACATTGTTTAACGTTGTTTTTTAACAGCAATGCTACCTGTAAAAACGGATGTGCCCCAAGGCGTATCGAGATTGTGTCCTGGTGCACGGAGATCCTTTTTCTGCAGAATGAAGCGAAAGGTCGAAGGGATACGTTGCGGTGAATTACAAGTGAAGGAGGAATCCGAATCGGCAAGCGGATGTCATCGACGAAAAAAACAACAAAACGTTGGTAAGTATTCTAAACTTATTAGAATTTGAAATAATAAATTTGAATTATTATTTAGTATTAAATAAAAATACCTCTAATGATAACGTTGTAATAAATCTACTATTGTAAATTGTAAAACGCATTCAATTCGCTCTAACATGACGTTTGAAATCTTCAGCTCGAATATTTGCCGCTTCACTTGTCAAAGATGAATGGTGGATACTATTTCAAAGAGAGCTTAAAGAGGATCGTTTTATATGTGTAAAATGTTGCAGTGCGTTAAGACATTATCTGAAAATATATTTCCAAATAATTATTAAATCGTTCTGGTTGCACATTTCTATTAAAATTTAAGAATTAAAATCAAGATGATTCCTTTACAATTGAATTTTTCAAAGAAGAGATTTCAGGATTTCAAGGATATAAAATATAATCAACCTTAAACGATTTCAAACAAGTTTATGTTGATTTTATCAAGCTGACAACATTATTGAACATTTTTGCAGACTGGAAGTACTGTGTAATTCAATGTACTGGATATTTAAAGTCGTGGGCGCCCGCAAAAATCGACCTCGAAGAACACGAAGGTGATGGAGACGGAGAGGCTTGCAATTTATCGTGTTTGGTAGCAGTTGGCCGATTGCAGTCCACGATTCCGACATCTTTACCTAAGAAGCCTCGTTTGAGATCCATCAAGTTCGTTTCGCGACATGCGATGGACGGTAAATTCCTCTTCGTCGATCAAAGGTTAATATTCTAATCGTTTTCTTAATTATTTAATTTATACAATTTTCAACGTGTCTCTCTCACGAGCCATTATTATTAACGAACTACTATTTTTTTAAAAAGAAAACGTTAAAATAATTGATGCACATTTTTATGCAATATATACTTTTAAGAAAATATTTCTCAATACTCAGAAATCATTAATTAATCCTTTTTGATCAATTTCTGGAACAACAACAATAAATATTTGTTTATAATTCTAAATTCTTCTGTGCCTTAGAATTACGTAATAATAATAGGCAGTGATAATAAGTTGATGTAAATCTTGATGATAAATAAAAAATATTCACAGGGCTACGTTAGTGTTAGGTTTCCTGCCACAAGAGCTACTTGGAACGAGCATGTACGAATATTATCACCACGATGATATCCCTCATCTGGCAGAATCTCATAAAGCCGCTCTTCAAGCATCCGAGAGTGTCACCACACAGGTAAGTTACCATTGTTACTCATTACTCGACACTCTTTTGCAATGATAATGATTATCATTTTAAATTTCAATTCCCTTGCTATGCCATTAATTCAGTCAATGTTGTTTCCACTGTACATGCATTTTCAATTTATTACTTGTTGAATTTTATTTGTTCTTGCATTTTCTGAAAATGTTTCCAATTCTTAATGAGAAAGTATATTTAATAATGCAATCTTTAAAAGTGTTAGATTACAATTGTATTAAGTATTATATTTGTTATCTATTTGTTGAAATAGATTTTTTAGAATTGATTAATAATTAAAATTTTTATGTATACATAAGAAATTTTATGAGAGAAATTTCTGTTCAGATATACAGGTTTAGGACTAAAGGTGCAAGCTTTGTGAAGCTTCAATCCGAATGGAAATCTTTCAGAAATCCATGGACCAAAGATATCGAGTACCTAATAGCTAAGAACTCTGTCACTTCGTAAGTTTCGATAATATTTTTCTCTTTTAATTAACAAATCTATATCAAATATATAAAACAATACCTTTTACTAATTAATGAAAATGATTGTGTATTCAGCAGTGACTCCCGATCGATCACAAGTAGTGGGAACAGATCTGAGGATTCCAGTGTTCAAGGCAATTACGACTACTTTGCACAAAGTATGAGTGAAATATTTTACGTTGTTCGAGATAATTTTAGTGATTCATTATTTAATTTAATTAGACTCGTCTCGTTTCACACGTCGATAAATAATCGTAGGTAACGGCGGATTAGAAAGATTGATCTCGAGTCACGTAGAGGTAAGTAAAATTGGACGACAAATAGCTGAAGAAGTTCTGGATCTTCAAAGACGCGGTGAGGATTCTTCTTCAGGTAGCAGTCCTGGACCGGAATCTGCTTTATTAAATACGGAGGTAGTTATAACCATAGAAGTTCCAGTTAAAATTTCTTGATTTCCTTTGAGATATGAAACAAACAATTTATTCGTTATTATATTTTCAATGATCTTTACCGCGTTTAATATTAACCCTTTAATATTTACCATTTTTATATCATTTCAATAATCATTCAATGTCTTGGATTACTAAAATCGAAATTATAATATTATATTAAGTAATATTTTAATAATAGTAAATTAATATTTTTAGAAACTAATTTTTAAAGAATTATCAGTTTGATATTTTTTAACATTATATATTTTTATCGTCATGAATATTCGACATATATAAATCATATCAATAAGTCAAAAGGATTAAATAAAGTATTTTAAGCAGCTCACAGACATTAAAGATCATTAAATTATTGATGATAGTTTTCCCTTTAATTTATACTTTTTTTCCTTCACAAGTCACAAATCACTACAACTGCATCGCCGGAGAGGGTGCAGGATGTGGCACAGTCAACCAGAGGCAGCAACAACAGCAGCAGTAATCCTACACCAACGTACAACCACATAGCAAACAACTTGCAGCTGAACAGCATCGCGAACGACCAAGGTCATAGCTATTACTGTCTCTAAGGAGTCGTTTTCTTGGTGTGTAGTGTGATTGCCGGATTTACCAAAAAAGATTAGTAGGTCGCTCAGAGAAAAAAAATGATCAAGCTTTTGTTTGATCGATCGATTTCAAACGCGAAACTATAATTTTCTTTGAACGAAATTGGGCGAAGGAAGTTCGTTCTCATAGCTCAAATATTTAATTCAAATTAATCTCCATAGATAATAATATTTATAATGTCTTTATGAAAGTAAATTAATTTCATTGTAATACAAATTTTATTTCTTTTTTTTTTTTTTTCTTCTCTCTTTTATACATCTCATTTCAAAACATCTCATTACATGGACTATTCATTATGAAAATGATGTAAGTCCTAGAAAAAAAATTGAAAAAAATAAATGATTTATATAAAAGCATTTTAATGTGAAAAAATAGAAAAGATTAACCCTTAAATATCTCTATACAAAAAGGATAAACTTACAGCACTTTGTAAATAAATAGTCCATATAAATAGTAATATGATCGACTTCAATAATTTTTCAAAGGTTCGAACATCCAGCAATCAAGCCCGCAATACAATTCTTTTTTCCTTTTTTTCTCTTTTTAGCATAACGTTATAGTTCCAATAGTAGCGTTCACAGCAACACCGCGCGGACATTTTTGAATTGATCGTTGCGTATAACATAACATCCAACCCCTTTTAGGAGCGTCACCAGACGAAGGACACGAAACTACTTTTTTAACTAAGGATGTGATGGATATGATTGGTGGTACCACGATTAACGAATCGCCAAACCCAGTGCCATCTGATGGTAACGACGAGGCAGCAATGGCAGTGATAATGAGCCTTCTAGAGGCAGATGCAGGTTTAGGTGGTCCTGTGGACTTTTCTGGCTTACCTTGGCCGCTTCCATAGTACATTTTAATCTCTCCTCTATTCGTGTGAACTGAAATTTCAAGTGTCGAAAATAACTTATGCTTATATGGAAGTTAGAAGTGTGTGTACATAATAGTATCAAGTGTGTGGACCAAGATAAGGTTTTTTTGATTTTTCTTGTTTTTGTTCTATTGTGCTTGAGTACTTGATCAATCTTTACCAATTGTGTCTATGTTCCAATTCAATGGAAAGTATGAACGTCACCATGAATCGTTTCTCATTTGTTTTGAAGAAGTTGAAATATTCTTGGTGCTGAGATGGTGCTGCTTTAAGGAATGCATAAATAATTGAACATTTTAGTTTTATAGACATATCATTTCTGTGATCAAAAATGAAATATCAAACGTACAGAATGATTAATATATACATACGTAAATTGAAATGAACATTTATGTTCATTTTTATAAAGAGTATGTAAATTGAGACTGATCCAAAATTATTTTTTGGTAGCAGTCGATAAGAGATGAAGCATCGTAAATAATGATGATAATTCAGAATAATTCGTAAATAGAATTATAATTCCCTCTGAAAATGAAATCAATATTTTTTTAATGTCGGTCAACGGATCGTTAAGTGATTTCCTTTCATAATTTGTAATTAAACGTATGCTGTTTTACGTTTTTGTACAAAATTAAATACGATTTAAATATTGTAATAAATTAATTTTTATCATAATATTTTAGTCTGATTTATTACTAATTGAATAATTATTTAGAAATGTCAATTTTCGCTCAAGAGTTTCGCGCGATAATATTAGGTCTCCTACCTCAATTTGTATTTTATTGTAATATATCAATTTCCGCTTATTTTTCATCTTCAATAAAAAAGAAATATACAAAATCATTCGGTAACTCTAGATTTCATCGGGACTATGAAAATAATTATTGCAAAATTAATCTATTTTAACACTTTAATAATCAAATTTTTTGTATAAATAAGTTCCATAACATTTTTCTGAAAATTCACGGATGAAATTATTTCCAATTTATTCTTTATACATCACTCTATGAAAAAAAAAAATAACTGCAATGAAATCTGTAATGAAATTATTATGAATATTTATTATTTTAAAAAAAATATTTAATATTTCACATAGTTTCGAAGACATTTAGAAAATAACGAATACCGTACACCGATGATTGCTTCAAAAAAACAATTACATAAATATTTATATGTATATAGCATATTCATTGCACACTGTCCGTTTCATAAAGCGAGGATTTAGGTTAACTGTACATATATGTATTCGAGATCTTTTTCACAGTAATCAATATAAATGTTTTGTCACTAGATATAAACCAACGGATCATTTTACAATTATTGACCGCATCGTAAAAAGTGTTTTATTAAATAGTTTCCGGCAAATATATCGAGGAACGAACCAAGAGTGAGGATCGAAGTTCCTGTTCGTTATTTAGCGACAAATTATTGTTGCCTGTAAATATGTATTCTTATAGAACGCGTGATATATGATATAAAGCGTACCTAATTAAATTATAAGAAACCATAAAACAATATCGAATGTTTCATAAGTTATGAGCAATGTTTATCACGAGTAAACAATTCTTTATATTTCTTTGTATGTTATAAATATATTGTTTTTAGGAAATGTTTTTACAACAATTAAATAAGGTATAATAATGATTATGATTAAAAATCTATCAACGTAATGAATATATTTTTGATGTAAAATACTGAAATAGTATTTTATGATAGTACTGACAGTTTTCTTTTTATTTAAAATTTTTAAAAATGTTACTTACTTTTATTATTTACAAATATGATAAAATCGAATGAAAATTCGATATTCAATTTGATATTTATTATAATAAATATAAAAAGTATTTTTTATTTTGAAAACTAAGTTTATATTTTTTATAAACAAAATTTCATATCGATATAATTTTTTCACATAAATAATCGTATTTTTTATTTCTTATATCTTTGTTGTAAAATGTAAAAAAAAGAATATGATAAAATTGATGAAATTATTTTACGATGCAATTAAGTGAATCGATCGAATAAAATCATGAGTTATATAATGTTATATTAAAATAATGTACATAAAGCGTGTATATGTAAATAAATATAATTAT